TCTGTCAGGCTGGGTCCAGGACCTTGAAGGAGAAGGGAGAGGTGCTCAATTCTTCAACTCTATCCCACAGTTCACTGTCTGCATGTCGTAGTTGGGCTGGCTGTGCAAAGGACCTTGGAATTGCCAAGACAACCAAGGAGAAGGAAAAAAAAATAATAAAAAGCACAAGCCATTTCCCCTAAAGCCAGAGTCCAGGTGGACACTCCACTTCCTTACCTCTTCAAGGGGCAGTGCTTTCCTATCACTTAGCTTTGAATAAAAATTCTGTTATGCTTGCACTGGTTTCCTGGCTTTTTATTTCTATAGTAAGCTGAGGAAAGAACCCACTGAGCTTCATCAGTAGCAGTCTCATAAGACTATTTTATTAGATGGACCCAAAATGGCTGAATAGGGTGAAGCCGTACTAACTACAGCTGCCCTGGAATAAAACAACAGCAAAAACAGCAACAACATTTTCAAGGGTTTAACTGACAGAAATACTCAATGGAGATGTAGCAATGAATCAAGACTCCATGGTACAGTGAGAAAAGAGGCCAGAGACACAGCTAAGGCTGGATGCACAGCTAAATTAAGGTAAGGAAGAAGCTGCCCTGCCCCCTGCTCCCTGCCCCATGCCCCCCTCTTAATACCTCCCCCTCCCACACCAGCAGATTTAGTGGAAGGAGAATTCCATAGTCACCCACTGGCTAACTTCACCCTGGCAAGCAGCTAATAGGAGTCTGAGAAGTTGCTGGCCCCTAAAAAGCCAGATTGCCTCCCTCCCTAACTGCTGCAGAGTTCTGGGCTTGCCTGTGATTTGTTGCACAACTTGTCTCTGTACTACTGCTAACAGAAGCAATCAATCAGGGCAACTTGGGGAGCAAAGGTCAGACCTCTTGCATTCTGCAACTATAGGTGTTTGGGGGCATTAGCCTTGGAGCTATGGTCAATTGCTTTACATGAGCTAAAGAGATTCCTCTTAGCTTTTGTAGCAGTCTATAAAAAATCTGCTCCCATCTTGGGAAATCTGGGTAATGAGCCCATTGGACCTTGAAACACCAGGATTGCAACAGTCTGTTGTTGGGAAATGAATGCAATCTAGGGATGTTGACGTTACAAACTGAGACACCAGCTTCACTCTAATATAAGAACTGCAGAAAGGCCAATTCACATCACACAATCCTAGAGACACAAAAATAGGGAACAATAGCTCCATCATCACTCAGGGTTGGCAATGGGACAAGGGTACAGCCCCCTTTGTCTCCCTGAGCACTGAAAACTAGGCCATGGCCATCACAGTCCCCAGCGTGACACAAAACTCTGGGAGCTACACACTGTAGGATATTCACATTCATTTCAAAATCATGCTTCTAGCCCTATGAACTGCAGAGCTCTAGTTCTAATTTTGTCAGCATCACTGAAATCTACTTGGTGCATCCCGGAAATAACTTACTTGCATTCTATCTCTAGTCTCAACTCTTGAGGAGTGAATGAAACCTGTTCCAGTTTTACCGTGTGACTACAAGGTAGAGATGCTAGGACAAGATAGTGGCTTGAATACTCACTCATGGTATCACTTTACAAACAAATGGTATTGCTTTGTGGCTCATCTGTTCCACTTCCCATCCAGCTGCCTGCTTGTAGCCTGGGAAAGCAGTGTGCCATATAATGCAGATGTCAATGTAGAAATGTAAGAAACAAGATTGCATTGTACCTCCTAAAGAACACAGCAGCTTTCCAGAATTAGATCCTGATTTGAAGGAAATCTATGAAATGCCAGAAATAGGATTCAAAATAATGATCATAAGGAAATCCAGTGTGATGCAGGAGAATATAGATTAAAGAAATGAGGAAATCAGTGACACGAATGAAAATATTAAGGAGACCACAATTCTTAAGAGGAACCGAATATTTTGGAGGTCAAATCTACAATCAATGAAATTTAAAAATGACTGAGTTTTAATAGTAGAATAGACCAAGTGGTGAAACAAACTTCTGACCTTGAGGGCAAGACTTTCAAGTTAATTTGATAGAACAAAAATAAAAAGAATGGAGAAAATCTACATGAAATTTGAGATACCATTAAATAACCAAATATTCATAATATAGGTATTCCTTAAGTAGAAGAGAAGAAAAAAGGTGTTGAGAATCTGCTAAACGAAATAATGGCTGAAAACTCCCTAGGTCTTGAAAAAGACTTGGACATCCAAATCAAAAAAGATCTTCCCCAAGACACATTGTAGTCAAATTTTCAACAGTTAAGGACAAGGAGAGAATAGTGAAGAGAGTTAAATTGTCAAGATACATACATATATAAAGGAAAACCAGTTAGACTAACTCTAGTCTTCTCAGGAGAAACACTAAGGGGCAGAAGAGAATAGGATGATATGTTCAAGGTGTTAAAACTGGGTTAAAACTGTAAAAACCTTCCATGCAAAGAATACACTTCAGAATTATAAGGACTATGTGTAACAAACCAATAGCCAAAATCATACTAATGATTACAGATGAAAGCATTTCCCCTCAGATCTGAAACCAGACAAGGATGTCCACTTTCATCACACTTAATAAATATGGTACTGAACTACTTAATAAGAGAAATCAGGAGAAAAGAAATAAAAGACACTAAAATTAGAAAAGAGACAGTCAAAATATCCTTGTTTGCCAAAGACATGATGTTTGCTGTACATGGAAAAACACAAATACTCCATAAAAGAGCTGTTAGAACTGATAAACCATTTCTGTATAATTCCAGTTGCAAAATAGCTTCTTAAATACTAACAATGGACTCACTGAAAGAGAAGTTAAGAAAGAAATCTCATTTAGTTGTCACAAAAATAATCAAAGTCTTAGGAATAACTTTAGACAAAGTAATGAAAGGTCTTTAAAATGCAAACTATAAAACAGGGAGACAAGAACTCAGGAAGAATACAAAAGATATTTTCCTGTCTCGTGGATTGGAATAACCGATATAATTAAAATGCCCGTTCTAGATAAAGCAATTCACAGATTCAATGAAATCCTATTAAAATACCAATTACATTTTTTTCACAGAATTAGTAAAAACAATCCAAAAGATCATTTGGGATCACAAAATACATAGACTAACACAACAGATCCCAAGGAGGGTAGGGATCAAGTTAGAGGCATTACAATACCTAATTTCAAAACATATTACAAAACAATAGCAAGATGGTACTTGCATAAAAACTGATGTATAGATCAATGGAGCAGAATAGGGATCCCAGACATTAATACACATACATGCTATCAAATGATTTTTGACAAAAGTACCCAGTCTATACATTGGAACAAGAATGATCTCTTCAGTGAATAATGCTAGAAAAACAGAATTATATATAAAAAGGAATAAAAATTTTTCCGTACTTCTCACCATATACAAAAATTAGCTCAAAATGGGCCAAAGACCTAAGTTTATGAATCGAGACAATGAAATTCCTAAAACAAAATGAAGGCAAACACTCACAAGAAATTGAGTAAATGACCACTTGTTCAACTAAGGCCCCTAAAATTTAGGCAACCAAGGAAAAGCTAGACAAATGGGATTGTATCAAGCTAAGAAGTTTCTGCATAATAGAGTGATGAATAAAATGATCAAACATCTAGCAGAATGGAAAAATATATTTACAAACTTCTCCAACAAAATATTAATATCCACCATATATCAACAATTTAAACTCAACAACAAAAGTTGTGTTGAGAAATGAGCAAAAGCCTCACCTTTAGGCAACTGCCCAGGTTGCCTTGTACCTAGACAAAGCTTGCACTGCTGAGAGAAAAGCAGCCAGTAGCTGACAGGCATTCTGGGCCTGGTTAATGATAAACTTGTATTAACTATACCAGTGTGCCAGCATAGTTGCCTATACATTTTTTGTTGTTCAAGCTATGTGGAGAAGGCAGGGAACACTGGGCCGGGCACCTGCACTTTCCTATATTATTGCTAAACTGCAATCTTTTAACTTTTTACTTGTTGATCTCTTATTTAGTTGAACATTAATCCTTTGACTAGAATGCTAATTAAAAATGTTACCTCAGTGGCGTGGGAGGGAACTTGGGAAGGTGGAGGAGAAATCCCAGAGCGTATGGAACTGTATCATAAGACAATAACAAAAAATTATTTAAAAAGTGAAAATAAATGTTACCTCAAAGACTAGAGGAGGAGGAGAGAGGGAGCTAAGAAGGGAACATGGTTACGTCCTTGGAGCTGCATCGGTGTGCTACACTGAGCACAATTTTGGTATCAATATTAACATGAAAAATAAAGAAAAATTATTTTGCCTAATCACATGATAGCTGTTTTAATGTATGCAAGTACATATTAAAATACAACAAAAGAAAACTCAAAATAGCCCTATTTGCACCATAACCTAGTAACAACTCTGGGTATACTAAGGAGTTAAGAAGTAAATAAAAATAAGAAGTAAAGTTAGACTGTGTAGGTAAGTCCAGTTTAATAAACATGTGATCTTAGTGATTGGGTGATCAAATTAAATAGGTAATTGATACACATTCATTTGAGAACATAAAGTAATTGAAAATTCAAGTGAAATAAAAGGTGAGTGACTAGGGAAAAGGAGTTCATATTTTCAACTTACACGGAATTCTTAACAGTACATAAAATCAGAAGTATACCAGTTGGGTAAAATGGTGAAGCCATATTTTAAGTATATTCTTTGATATTAGTCTTGGTTTTAATTTGTTTAATCTTTGAATTACTATTTTTGATTCCTGGGGCTTGGTGAATGAAAAGAGGCTAATGATGTGCAGTGCTAATATCATGTCCTTTACCATTCAGTACGTCCTACTTTCAACCTCCTAACAAAATACTTCCACAATGCACGTGCCTTGCCTTTTCCCAGTTGTGCTGGATAAATCATAAATGGATGATTTTTCTCCTATTAAAAGCAAATAGTAACATTTAATTTTACTATATGTAGTCATCAAAATATTAAGTTTAAAATTATGTTTATTACTTTTTCTACTCATTTCTCTTTTTTTAGAATAACTCAGAAAAAGAAAATATAAAATTTCCTTACTTTCAAGGTAAGATGTTTCTGTATATAACATTTTAACATTTTAATTTTTAAGTATCCAGTGAAATTGAGAATACAAACTCACGTAAAGTAATTACAAAAATTTCCTTCAGGAAGTAAATTATGCTGTTTGTGTACACATATAATGTAAAATATATATGTATTTGTATATGATGAATAGGTCATTTATTTTTTATAAATAAGTCATTTATTAATTTGCTATTTGTGCTTTCAACTTTTTTTACCCTCTAGATAAAGCTAATATGAAGGTTTTTAATAAATAAGGAGGCAATATCGATAACTTAAAAGGTGATAATCAAAATATTTAACAACAAATATAGTGTGAGCATGGAAAACCAGATTACATGGTACTGTTGGAGCAAGTATCTGGAGGCTTCTCGCTATGTTGTGACAGCATTAAGGGATGGGGGTGGCGCATTTCCCAGGGACTCAAGGCAATCAGGGCAATGAATGTAAAGTAACACTTAGATGTCTTGAGGCATTTATGTTTTTCTTACCAAGTAATAAATAAATCTTCCAATATTCTAACAATTGGAACAATGATAGCTGTGCAGTGACTGTGTATCCACATAGAAGATACTAGAATAATCTAATCAGAATGAAGAGAAGATAGCTACCTTGCTAGGACACTTGCCATAGAAGCAAGGGAGGTATGTATAAAATAAATCTGTTAAATGCCATGGGTAAATTTGTTTATGTAATCTTTCCTTTTTGTCCCTTTTCAGATGTAATGTCAAGAGATACTAAAACACATCAAAGTACAGATAAAAATGTAGACCAGGTATGTAGGTTGACACATTTTTTAAAAACCTTGCTGACATTTTGCATTGTTTTCAGTTAACGGTGTAAAATTTTATCCTCAGTGTCGTCAGTGTAATTTCTATCAATAAGAATACTCTTTATTCTTATTCTGTTTTCTAAATGCCACGCCAAGCTAAAAGTAATTTGTGTTTCAGAAATGAAATGGAAGTTTTGTAATTTGTAACAGGGATCAGACAATAAACAAACAAGAAAATGAAAGGTGAAAACAGAAAGGAAATCTTGATTTACACCTTATATCTTGCACTCAGAAAGCATGAACTATAATCACACAAGAGAGAATATTCTAAGCCCTAAAAGAAATGCCAATACTTTCCTTTCTATTTTTATTGATTAACTGATTCCTAAGTGTAGGACATTGGAACTGCAATCTAAGTTTTGTGGAGACTAGCAGGGCTTTATGTAACCATTTCTTAGATCTAGGTGTATTAGTCAGCTTTTTGTTACTTCTACTAAAATACTTTGGAGATCCAACTTAGAAGGAAAGGTTTATTTTGACTTGGAAGTTTAGAGGTTTGCAGTTTGAGATCAGGCAGTCCCATTGGTCTGGCACTTGATGAAAGTTGGTAATGGCAACATGCAGCGTAATTATGTGGCAATCCAGGAAGTCAAGACACACAGCAACTTATAAATACAGTATGAATTATAAATAATATAAACTACAAATACAATGCTTTGCTTATACAGTAATATTCCCAGGACTGGTACATTGGCTTAACTGGCTAATCCTCCACCTCCAAGCGCCAGCATCACATCTGACCACTGTTCATGTCCTGGCTGCTCCGTTTCCCACCAGCTCCCTGCTTATGGCCTGGAAAAACAGCAGAGGATGGCCCAAAGCTTGGGACCTGCACCTGTGTGGGAGACATGGAGGAGACTTGTGGCTCCTGGCTTTGGATAGCCTCAGTTCTGACCATTAGCAGCCAATTGTGGAGTGAACCAGCAGACAGATCTCTCTCTCTCTCTCTCTCTCTCTCTCTCTGTAAATCTGCCTTTCCAACAAAAATAAATATTTTTTAAAAGATGAGAAAATAACACTTCAATGAGAACAACCTTCAGAGGGAAATTTCCCAGGACCCAAAGGCATCCCATAGTCCCGCCTCCCATAGTCCCACCTCCCAGATGCATAATTAGATTAAGTCTCTACCCTCAATACATCAAATGTTAATGTAAGACTTTAGGTTTAATTACATGGATTTGGGGAACCAAACTCTGTTCAAACCATTATACCATGCAGTAGGGCTTAGTCACTTTATTGATAGTAATTCCAAATTGTCCAGAACATTTCTGATTCTAATATTCAGCCCTTTTGTTCCAATAATCCATTAAATTGCCCTGGAAATGTTGATGCTTTGATGTTTAAATGACTTCTTTCAGACTGGTTCATGCATGTAAAAATAACAATAATTCTTGCTATATGATCTAATTATGTTACAAGAGAGGAGTAGCAATCACAAATGATTTCAAACTACAAAGCACAGATCATGAAATCTTAAGTCTTCAGAATTTTTCTTTCCTTGATATTCTTCTTACAAAGACCACTGGCCCAGTCTCATCTTTCCTGGGAGAGATGTTTGCCTTCTAGATTTATTGTGACAGAGGTACTATTCCCACAGAGTTACCAGGTGCAAATTGGGTTTCCATGGCTCCAGAAAGCTTTGCTCCCTGACTTTCAGTGGCTCTGCCCTATCATTTTGGGGAATCATGCAATGTGACACAATAATTTCCCTTTTTGAAGCTAAAGATGGAAGGTTATTAATTTCTGAATGACATTTGGGGCCTGTCTCCCTTGTTTTGAAGTATAATGCCCAGGTTCAGTTGAGATGACTGACATGAGACTCATAGTTCGCACTGATACTAATCTCCTTATTATAAAGTGATTTGGCCACAGCCTTGGTGACTGCATTTCCTCTGTGTGTGTGTGTGTGTGTGTGTGTGTGTGTGTGTGTGTGTGTGTCTCATTAGGCTTAAGATTTACCACATCTTTAAGTTCAAGTTTCTTTTGCTGAGTACGTGTATGTTTAAGTCATCTTTCTCTTCTTCTACTTTGTAATAAGCAGTGAACATACGGCAAAACATGCCTTCAAAATTTTGCTTAGAAACAATGAGCTAAATATTCAGTTCCAAATATACAAAAAGCTACTGGACTATGAGTACAGTGATCTAAGTTTACATTTTATGAAAAGGATCACCTTTCCTCTGCTTTTCACTAATGTGTTCTTCATTTCCATTGGAGATTGAATAGACTTCACTATCCATCCTTTGTTGGCATTTTGTTTATTCTTGAAGACTGAGGCCTCCTGTATCTCTTTTCTTTCTGACCCTTCATCATAATTACCTTTCAAAGTCTGTTCACAGAAATGGTGGGCTTTCCTAGACCAAGCCTCTAAACTTGTCTAGTCATTCCCAAGCTCCAAAGCTGATTCTATGTATTTTTTTTTTAGCATACCACCACACCCTGAGTAGTTGTTTTGGTGTTAGTCTGTTTAGAATGCTCTAATAAAGATATGATACATGGAGTGGTTTACTAACAACATTTCTAGAGGTCTAGAGGCTCGGTGTTGGGGTGGGGGATGGTCCAAAGTCATGGCCCTGTTAGATCTGATGTCTGGTGAAGGCTTGTGTAGGTTCTTTAATGGCCAGTTTCTTTTTGTATCTGCACAGGACAAAGGGGAAATGGAGCTCTCAGGAGTTGCTTACACGGGTGGTCTTTTGGTCTAATGGGTGCTCTTATAACAGAATGTCTCAGGCTGGGTAGTTTATAAGGAGCAAAAATCTTTTGGCTCATGGTTCTGAAGTCTAGAAAGCCCCAGATAAAGGGGTTAGAGCATATTGAAGGTCTTCTTGCTTTATGAGCCCATGGTAGAAGGATACAAAGAAAGCAAAAGAGAGATGGGGAGAGGGTACAAGATTGTCCCTTTCTTAGGAACACTTTCCTGCTATATCAACATGAAACCGTTTGTGAAGGTGGTGTCCCTGTGGCCCGAACACCTTCCACGAGGTCTTACCTAATACCATGTCTTCAAGGATCAAGACTCTAACCGTGAACTTTACTTCACTCATTCAAATCGTAACAGACAGTAATCCCGTTCATGAAGGAAATGCCCTTGTGGCCAAATTATCCAAAATCATCTACCTCCAAAAGGCATTTGGGATTGGTTTTAGCATATGAATTTCAGAGAACATAAATATTCATTCTAATGCCCCACCAAAGCAATAAACACATAATTTATATTGCTTTTATGACTAGATCCTGTACTGGAAGGGTGAAGACATTTATCTTACTCATCTTCCTAATTCTGGTTCCTGGCACAGTGGAATACAGAGTCATCCAGTAGATGTTGCATTTTGCCTGTTTCCTTGCATATTTTGGCTTATTGTTATGCAACTAGCAAGTACACTCTAAATATATTTTCCTACTCCTAAAAGTATTACACTTTCTACCTCTTCTGAGACCATCAGCAACCAAGACTAGGGGCCACCTGTGACTGTGGAGAGCTACATGTCACAACCCACAGGAGTCTAGATTGGGGACAGTCAGGGCCTAAGTGTGGAGGGAGGGTATTGAGCCAAGATCTTGCAAACAATGGGCATATCTATTTGCTAGTTGCCTCTTTATTTTACAAGAACTATTTATGCTGCCTATACAGCCCAAAATGCATGCAAATACAGTAATATTTACACAATTTATAAGCAAAGCTTTAATACTAAAAAATACAGGCAATGGGGGAAAAAAGCTATGAGGAATAAAGGAATAAGATTTATCATGGCATTAGTGAGAAGCACAGAGACTAATTAAAGAAGAAAGAGGATGGTGTTCATATTTACCAAGAGAGGAAGAATCTAGATGAAGTTTCCCTCCAAGTCCTAAGGACATCTTAGTTTACCTTACAAAGCTGTCATCTGGTACTTCTGCTGCTTAAAGTTCCAAACTGTTACTCTAAGAGCATTGAGCAATTAAAACTCACACAATTACAGATTCAGTATGATCCAAGTCAAAATATCAATGACATTCTCAGATATGGGAAAAAAAAACTGCTGAAATTCAAATGGAACCACAAAAGATCCTGAATAACTAAAGCAATCTTAAGCAACAAAAGCAAAGCTGGATGCATTACAACATCAGACTTCAAGAAATACTAAAAAGCAGTTATAATCAAAACAGCCTGGTACTGGCATAGTAATAGACATATAGAATGGAACAAGTTGAAACACTCAGGACTTAAGCCACACATTTACAACCAACTGATCTTGACAAATGAGCTAAAATCACTCCCTGGAGAAAAGACTCAACAAATAGTGTTAGGATAATTGGATCCCTGTATACCAAGACAGAAAACAAGACGTCCTACCCTACTACCCTATACTTGATTAAAAAAAAAGTCAACTCACAATGAATCAAGGAGCTAAACCTAAGACATGAAATCATCAAATGACTAAAGGAAAACATTAGGAGACAGAAACTGCAAGACGTTGACATATCCAAGGACTTATTGGATGAGAATACAGAAGTACAGGCTTTAAAGGCCAAAAATGGATAAGTAGAATAATATCTAGATAGGAAGCTTTGGCACAACAAGGGAGCAAAAATGAGGCATCAGATAAGCTGAGAGAAGATATCACACATTTGTCAAAGAGTACTATCCAAAATATAAGGAGCAAAACAAGCAATGCAGTTCAGAAATGGGCACTTTTCAAAGAATGAAATACAAATGGCCAATAAAGACATGCAATAATGCTCAGGATCACTAGCTATCAGCGAAATGCAGACAAAAACCACAGTGGAGTTTTAGCTCATGTCGAATAGAATTGCATTCATCCAAAAACAAAACAAAATGGTGATGAGAATATGAAGAAAAAGGTACCTTAATCCAACTGTTGTTCAGAATGCAAGCTAGTACAACCATTTTGGAAGACAATATGGAGATTTCTCACAAATCTGAAACCTCTACCTTATTACCC